AGTTTCTTCTTCTTTTACTTGCTTCGTAAGAGCCTTGGAAAATGCTTGTTATTTGGGACTTCCTTCCATGATTAATAACGGCATGTAAATGTTTAGAATTGTGCTGGATGTCAACTTAAGTAGGAAGAGCTGCTCAAATGGGACCAGATTTTGCTGCAGGTATTAATCTTTGGAAGCATGGTTCTCATGATTACTTTTTCTCCTTGAATGAAGGAAAAAAATCAAAGCCATGATGTTCATATCATGTATTGGGTTTTGTGGCACAGAAATAGTGTACTGTGGTGTCTTTCAAGCCAGCTTAAGTCAGGCTGTGTGGCACTGAAATTGCTGCAAGAAATTTCCTGCTAAAAATAGATCAAGCTCCTTTCATTTTAAGTACGTTCACTTTAGTTGTCTGTTTTGATTTTGGCAGATTCCTGAGGGAAAGGCGCTAATGGGTTTGGTGACGTTGATGGAACACGGGATTCCAGAGGCTTACTGCAGAGTTTTATTAGTCTCTTGATGGTGGTTTCTTGTTTGTCAAAGCATATGCTGGCCTAATGCCTTGATGTTTGTATCTCAAGCCACGTAGAGTATCTGCAGTTTCCTAGAGAAGAGTGCTCTCATGTTGTTATTGTAAATTGTATTTTGTTACTGTAAATTTAATTGTTCATTCCTCTCTTTTTTTTTAACTGTAAACATGGATTTAAGTTCCATTACAGACTCTTGGTTCTTTTATTCCCTGTCTTTGACATGCATTTTATCAGTCATCTTTGTTCCTTCTTGGTATCTCTTGTTCTGCTAGGATCAGGATGACCGCAGTTAACGTGTGGCTGAATTTATATTCCAGCACAGAGGTATTACAGGGCGCCTGTTACTCCGGGGGGCATCCTTACTAGCCTTTGTCCTCGTAGCGAGGAGATCATCCACTGCTTTCGTTGTGCTGCTGTAATCGTGGCTGTGCTCTTGCTTAAATTATTCCTTTGCAGGGTCTCTGCTGTTTCAAAGACCAGCGTGCGTTACTTTGCCTGCATGTAATTCCACCTTATATTGTCAGTGTGGTTATAGAGCTTTGCAAATTTTCAAGAGCTGATACGCATTAGCTACACTTCATTATCTAAAGTAAACAGCTAGTTAGCTTACAGCAGAGAGCTGCTGCAAGGTTGCGTTCTACAGAATACAAAAATAGACCAAAAAGTGAGTGTATCCCCTGACTCGGCTTTAGTTGTTACGCTGGAGTGTCGCCTGCCTGTGTTCATACCTCCAGTACTTCTTTTTTGAGGATACACAGGTTCTCTAGACTCCTTTCATTTATACGTTCATTATCTTTAAATGGCTCTTGCGAGACTGTGTAGCAATGGTTTCCCAGTCCTCACTCACCAGCTTAGGTGGAGCAGTACTAAGCAAGTGATATGCTGCTGGCAACAGCATACTTCACTCTCCTTCAATGGTTTCAGTCTTAATTTAATTTCCTCAAGCAGCAAGCTGTGTGAACAAGGAAGATGGGCTCCGTCACCAGCACCATTGACTTTGGATGTCTCTTCTCAGGCTCTAATGAGAGACTGTGCCTTTGCTAGCACTCCTGTGAGGAGGTCAGTGCCCTGTTTCACAGGGACGTAGCAGAGAACCTGTTTCTCTGCAGCCATTCAGCCCCTATCTCTGCACGCAGCTGGGCAGGAGGATCAAAAACCCGGGATTACTCAGCTCTGCGTGCTTTGTGCTGCAGTCTGTTCCCTTACTTCTTTTTTCAGCCAGGAGGGTCTTACACAAGGCAGATGGCAAAGCACCTGAGCTGCTCTGACCGAGAACTCCAACCCCCTCCTGGCAGAGAGGATGATTTTTTTTTTTTTTTTTTAAAGCCCTCGAATACAGCTTGGTCCCTGAATTTTGAGGTTGCCCTGGATCATGATAGGCCCTATGAAACATAGATCACTCAGCCTCTGAGAATTTTCTTTCCTGTAAACAAAGTATTCCTGGACCTGGTTTACAGGCTCAGGCAAGTTCCCTTCTGTAGTCTTGCCCTACCAGTGGGATGCATTGCCAATCCGTGTAAGTCTTAAGTAGGAGATTCATACTCCTGACAAAGGAAAGGGGTGATGGAACTTGGCATTTAGAAGGCAAGCTGTTACAAGGAAAGCCAGGTATCTTAAATATACATTGACAAATGGGGACTAAAACATGGTGATTTATTGCCAAACCTATCTGGCAGCCTCTTTCCAGTTTAGGCTTGTTGGTTATCAGATACTTGCTACATGCGAACATCAAATGAAATAACGTACGATTGGCTTTGACAATTCTTAGCTAGTTGATTCCAGGAAGGATTTCTCTGCTTCGTTGTTGAAGGCACCGTTCTGTGCACAGGCTTCTCTTGGAGCTGCTGCAAATGCCACCATTAAGCTGTTTAAATAAGAGCAGTGACTGTGACCATCTGACAGCACCCTTGGTTATCTTCCCGGGGCGTGGTTTGAGAAATGTCAGCAGTAGCTCAGCATTTCCCTTTGCAGGACTGGATCTGTTTCCAGGTGCTTTCCGTACAAGGCTGCTCGCCCCACTCTCCGGTCTCGGGGGCCTCCATCGGCCACGGTCCCTGGTGAAACGGAGTGATGATCCGAAAGCCCCGTCTGTCCCTGCAGCTCTGAACAGTACAGTTATAGTGGGTCTATTGTAGTTTTAAGCATTCTGTCATTTGCTCCCTTAGAGAAAATAGGGATGTCTCAGTGTTTTCTGATCCAGACAAGTGCAAACACCTGGAGGAGATCACGTACCAAGCCTATAGCTCCTAGGAGTGACGCTAACGAAAGTGACCTCAGCAGCGCTCTCGTTTCCTGCCTGCCAGCATGGCTTGAGATAGCTGTGCCACAGCAAGTGCTGGGTAAACAAGATGATTGTTTCTGCTGGATGATCTTAAAGCCCTCCTAACTGTCTGCTCAAAATACTTTTCCATTTCAAGGAAATGACTGGTTTGTTTGTGTTAAGAGTCAGGAATGGGAAATGACGTGAACACTTAACTGGTTTTCCTGGTGTTTTTAAGAGGAGGCATATTCACTGTCTCAGGTCTTATTTCCAAAGGCATTCAGTGTTTTCCATAACCCTATTAAGTAAGTACTAGAGGTGTGTGCATGCATATATATATGTGTGTGTATATATATATCAGAAAACCTTATAAACCTTCTGTATCTGCCTGGCAAAATTTTACTAGTGTCTCCCTGTGACCATGCTGTAACATGAGCTGATACATTCCCCCTCACAGTGCTGAACTGAAACTGTCCTCAGGTCTTGTTTTCCCAACACTGGCATAAATCTGTGACTATACAGTGTGCTGTAACCTCCCTGAAGTAGAAAGAAGTCAAAATTCACATTTGTCATGCTTATTTTGCCCAAGCACCAGTTTTATCTGCATCTGCTGAGTTACACTGTGCATTTAATCTTTTTTTTTATCTGTGCATTGCTCCTCGCTTGCCCTTGAAAAAGAAATGGCCCAATGTTATAGTCTTTTTAGTTGCTGATAACATTTTGTTACTGATTTCTTTGGTCAAGGTGTTTTTTTCTAAACCAATCGTTTCTCTTCAAATTCCTTGAAAATGAAGGCTGGCAACGTGGGCCTCTGTTGTCCTGGGATCTCCCTTCCCAAGGCTCTTGTGTGCGCCATCCTGCAGGACCAAGGTGTCGAGACTTGGTTACAGTGACTCAGCTCCTGGATGTGGGATTCTCTCTTCTGTACTGCTGCAAGCGCCTGGCAAAACATGATCCTGGCCTGCGACTGGAACTCCAGGATATGGCTGGGGGCGGGGGAGGTTTGGGGGTTTTTTTGGTTTTGTGGTTTTTGGTTTGGTTTTTTTGGTTTTTTTAATCAATATCAGCTTGGGCATTTAAGATGATGTCTTTGCGTTAAGTCCTGCTACTCTTGCCCACATAAAAATGTAGGTAATGGCCAGGCTCATGTTCCACATGGCAGTTTTATCTCCCTAACCTGTGTTCAATTCCCTTGCCCTTCCTCAAGCAGAGGCAAGTTAAACCACCTCATGAAAATCAGGATTAGCAGTGTAGGTACAAGAGTAACAGCAAAAGTACAAGAATGCAGCTGTGCCGTGGCAGGAAAACACTGCGACCCAGCAAAACCTCGCTGCTTGTAACTGGAGGCAAGCACAGCGTCTGCAGCACAGGCTCTGGAACATTGCATTCTCAAACCAGTTAGTAACTTTTTTTTTAACAAATGGTAATGTTTGACTGTTTATCATCTGACGCTGACAGATGACACAATCTCAGTTCTTCTGAGAATCAAACTAAAGTAACATTTTATTGCCCTGTAGAGAATTACTTAGTTGGATTATATATAAGAAAAAACGTACAGTGGTTAACAACTTAAATTCAACCTTCCTCCTTTTATTTTTTTTTCAACACCGCTCATTTCTGCATGGGTTTCTTTGTACTTCCTTGCATAAACAGAAAAGTGACCCGTAACATGCAGGGGGAAAGAAAGTTTAATTTCCAAAATGTTTCTTATATGGATCAGAGCATATTATACAGACCTCTTATAAAGATTTGTGTGTATGAATCAAATGCAGTAATAGCAGCCCTTCAGTAGAAATATTTCTAAACTTAACATCTCGACAATAAAATGTCAAATGAAGGGAAATAGTTGCTACATGAAACAAGATAAATGTTCAGCTAGAATATAAAACTGGAATTTGAGCAGGACTTTCTGATACAAAAGAAATCCCCTCTTAGCTGGGGTGGGGGGGAAAGGTATAGAGGAATGCCTGTGCTGCTATACTTAGTTTGGTCTCTAAAATAGAAAAAACACAGAATTTTATATTAGTGTGCAGTGCAAGTTCAATTTCTGTTAATGCCACTTAGTTCACATATTGCATGCATCCCTAAGAAATGAAAAGATCTGATTACAGAACTCATTTTTATTGTCTACAATTGTGATACAAAATGGCTGTTGCAGAAATTACTTCCCCAGGTAAGAAAACGAGCACTCAACGCTGTATTTGCAACAAAGTAAGGAATTTGAGAATTACTTTTTCACCTAAAATTCACGGTTTATTTCATAGTTTCACTGATGGACTTTTTCATTTTCTTCAATGATTAGTCATGATTCTCATCCTTCTGGTATGTATACAGAAGTGTTATGCACCAGCCTCAGCATGTACAACCACAAACCAAATGAACGTTTTACATAAGACAGTTCGCTTTTATAGTGATCACGCACTGATGTGAACATAGACTAAAAATAACAAATGTTGCTTTAATAAGGATTTTTTACAGTAGGCGTAAATATAAAAGTTTTTCAAATTATTTTCACAGGTATCACTGAACATTTCATAGCTGTCTGTTACAGAAGCACCGAAAAGTGCTTTGAGTCTTTCATTTATTATACATAGTTAAAATATATTACACTTCTGAAGGTATCTTTGAATCACTGAACAGTTTTGCTAGCATCTTAATGAGCCAAATGGGAGTAAAAGGCAGTCCACATTCATGATGTGAATATACAGTAAGGTGTTTGACATCCTATTAACTCATTGCTCATGTTCTCAAAATAACCATGGTGATGAGACCTGAAAGACAAGAATTAAGAATTCAACGCTTTAATTTCACCGAACAGAACATTTAAAATAAGGGAAAGACAGTTTACCCTCTCATAGGCCAGAAAATAAGGTAAAAGCGCATAAATACATGCAGAATTAATTTATATATACACTTCACTTAAATATTGGAAGTATTGCTCTGAGTTTCAGTGTAGTCAAAGTCTGTGTAAAAATGACACTGAAGTGCAGTATATCTAGTAACTAAACTTCAAGGAAGCTATAGATACTCCAAACAATGATCAATCTCCTTGCTACTGGAAAATCTTAACATTGAGATTTTCACTTGGGTAAGTGCAACACTAGCACACGGGCCACCAGTTTTCATGGGGGCTAGTTGCAGGCGGCGTAATTCAAATGCTGACTCATCAGTAAGGTGGATTAGCTGAGGGCTCTAAGCCATTTTTGTTTCTGCTCTGTGCAGAATAACTGATCAAAGACCAGTTTTAGACAAAGATGTTAAGCTTCCTTGTCAGTCTGCATCGGGAGCTTTCCACAGACTCTTTGTTGTACCTTTAAAGACCGAGGGGAAAAAAAACCCTGCTCTGATAGAGGTTAAAAACAATTAAAACCAGATGAAAGTAGGCAATGTGGGGCTAATAAACCTACCCATGACACACTGAAAAGTTCACTTTAATTATGTGGAGATACCGGAAAAGGTACAAATGGGCAAGTTCTTAGCCATGAGTTATATTGCACAAGGCAAAGAGGCATATGGAAAAACATTAGGGCTCCTTGAATTCCAACCTTATGTAACATCAAAATAGTAATTTATCAGTTCTTAGGCAATCTTACTTTCTTGCAGGCTCAGATAATGTTAATACAATAGCCTTTCACTGCAGAGAGCTTAGCTAAAGCCTACAGCTCTCACCACGGATAGAGACATTTCTGAGACTATTTTACTATCCTGCCACTACATACTGATTTCACTTATTTACTTCATAAAAATTTTGAAGAAAGAAGCATGACACAACACAGTTGTAATGCTGGAGTTTATCTATTGAAGAGGAATTCAGCTATTTCTTAGGGTCTGTATTAGCTTAGACAATCAGCACTACCAGAACTGCTGTAGGCCTTAGCTTGGATTATCTAAATCATCGCAGAGTAGTAACAGAGGCTTCAGGAAGGTGCTACAGGACAGCCTATACCACTTGTATAGGGACTTCCAGGCAATAAAGAGTTTAACTGCTGTATTTGCTGTAAAGCAGACACTTCTCAAATGTCGTACAGCCCAGTAGGTGTGGTATTAACCTCCCTTTTCAACCAAATGCTACACAATCCAAATTTCTTCATTGTGGAAGAAAGTGGTTTCATCTTCTCAAGGGCAATCAACTCTCTAGATGAGCAAAAGTTGCATATGGAAGAAGAATCTTTTCCTGAACACTAAAAACGCTGCTACCAAAGGAATCAAAGCCTGTAAGAACTCCATAGCAAATCTAGAAACAGGTAAGTTGTTGCAAGTGTATGGTATGAAGTCAAATGGTTTAATACTATAGCTGGTACCAGCAGACGCTGGAGTGATTTTCAAAACCAGAGATAAAAATAAAGCAAGGATTACTGCAGGTGCTGATCTGAAAATACATCACCATTGGCTCAGGCAAAGATGTAGGCTTCTGGTTAGCAACAAGGGAGTTTTCAAACCATTTCAGCAGACTGACTCGCATGAGTCAGTCAACTGAGCGTGCGCATTAACCATCAAGAACTTGCATCTGTTCCCATCACTACCTCACCTCTAGCTATCAGTTTGAAGCTGCCTAGCTCGTTTCCTTTAAATCCTCATTTCTGCCAGGTAGTGGGACAGGAGAATTGAGTTTAGAGTGACTGTTCTTCAAAATCTGAAATAGTTATAGAAAAATAGTCATAACAAATGAAATGTGCAACTTATCTATGCTTGCTAATTTAGGAGCAAGTTACAAATGGGGAATAATTGTGGATGATAGTGGTCTCTCAGGAAGGGTCTACAACAACTTACTTCTACACAGTCAACTGCTTATCAACAAGGCAGTGAATGGAGCCTTTCTGACCAGCTCATCTGGGTTGGAGAAATAAAATAACAGAAGAGACCTAGGTCCTGCAATAGAGTAACTCTATTTCAGTGTAAGAATAAGAAACAGCACATTCCATTCAGTTTTGTTGGCAGATGACTACAGTTGGCCAGTCATCAAATGAAGGTGAAATTAACATGTGGGGCCTGTATATAATAAATAGCCACTAAAATCTGATCTAAAATACTGACAGTAACTGATTTACGCTGATATCACTATGACTGCAAGTTAAAATATAAGTGGAGATGCAAACCAAAATGTAATGTGGTGCTTTATCTCCATCAAGCTTCCTGAAGCCACTGGCACACACAGGAGAAGTCTTCCAAATCACATAAGTTGCAAGAAAACATTTACAAAATTGAAAATACTTACCTAAAACATAAGCAGCTACTAACTTTTGATTCACACTTAAGTGGAGGTAGAGAGGCACCAGGGATTCCGTTTCCCCCAATGTAGGTAGCATTAGTGCTGCAATACACACTATTCCTAGGAAGACTGTTAGTAAACTAGGTCCCGACGAGGCAGTTCTGTTCTCTGAAAAACAAGATGGTACCAATTGTAAGGAATATCTATCTACCCAATAGAAATGTTAAGTACTCTGCAAAAATGTTTGTGGTACCTTGAAGCTGCTCTATCCTGAGATTTTCTTTTCCCTTTGGAGTTTGGAGGGGGTGGAAAACAACGCACCCTCCTAGACCTCTGCATTTTGCAGTGGAGAAGGCTGCTCCCTGTTGTGATGCTGGAACTTGTTTTCACATGACTTCCCAAACCCCTCCCTTCTGGAGGAACAGAGCCTGCCAGGCCCAGCAGCTATATATACACACTCATGACAGCTGAATGTTTCAGCAATGCTTGAGGTTTCATCATGCATCCTGACTCTGTTCCTTCAGTGATTAGTAATCAATTAGGAAAGAGCACCTAAAGGGGCTGCACAGGCAGATAACTCTGCTTACACCTCCAGAACAAATCTTGGCTACCACAAGAGCTCAGGTTCTTGGGCCAGATGCATTCTCCTTCCTTCTTTAGAGAATTCAAGGGCTGTACCTGCCAGAACCAGTTCATGTGCCACAAAGTAGTAATACTTGAATCTTACTTTAAAAACTGTGAGAGTGAACCATTCTGACAGTCCAGTATCACCAGAATAAGGAAATGCAAACTACAGATGAACTGTCCTTCATACTCTTTATTGCGCTGTAGTTTAACAGCTGGAACTTACTCAAAGGTACACTGCGTAATCTCTGAAAAGAGCTGTTAGCATGTTAGTTGAACACCTCTAACCAAATTCTTAAGACCCATTGGAACTTAGCCAATGTGTTTATCAAGTTTTTCTATACTCAGCTACTAGCAATGTGTCCTACTTTAATTCCATAAATCCGTAATTTCTAGGTTGCAGGTTATATGCAAAGACCGTAGTTGCTTTGTTTATATTGCTTGCTTACAGAAAAACAGTAATGTAGTTAACAAGGTTTTTAAGCAGAGAAATAGCATTTGGATAAAGACCATTATCGGATTGTTCAGGATGGTTAAACCCTCTGTACTGGAACAACTACCATAGCAACATTTTGTTCTGTGAGCCCAGAGATCTTGTAGGTTTGCTTTAACCTATCTTGAGGGTTTTTTTTTTAGTAAAAGGTGTTTCACCAGCCAATAAACTATGTATAAATAGTGAAACAGTTTGGTTTTAACAAGAGGAACACTCTCAAGTAAGTTAATCTATTTGCTGGAATTGATTTTTGTTCTTGTCTTGAAAAATAAAATAGTCACAAGATTATTACAGTATAAATCAGTAAAAGTAACAAGGAGGTAGACTGTCAAGTCAAGAATCAGTTTAGATTCAGTTCCGGTAAGACTTGATACTTTTTATCTCTCCCCCTACCACTTAAATTTAACTGTTTGGTCCACGTTTTGCCCAAGACTGTTGATTCACTTCCTCACGTGTGAAACGTGCAAAGATTTTCAGCTAGCAACTGTGCTTTTCTCTTCTTGTGAGACAGATAAATGAGATGGCACAGAACAAGGAGCACTTTAGAAGATGTTTTGGCAATATTTACTGCTCATCAGGAAATGGAGGATTAAGGGTTTGGAACAAACTCAGAAGGGGCATATGTTCTGAAAGAGCCCAAGGGAAAAAATAACTACCATCCTTTTGTAGATAAATTCCCATTGGCTGTAACAGAACTTCTGCACCAGAGGAATAGAGGATATACTCTCCAAGGTATGACATGCAAACCTGGGGCAGCAAAGGGTCTTGATTAATCAAGACAGCATAAGCAGAATAGCCATAGTTTGGGTTCTCGGGCACTACCATTCCCCAGTGATAAGGACAGCAGTCCTACAGGTAAGTAAAAAGAATTATTTTAAAATTTATTTTAGTCTAGGCTTTCTAGTCACTTGAGCTATTCATAACTGATTCAGAAGACACGAAGGGTAAAAGGTTTCAGCTACCTGGTTGACACAAAGTCTGCTCAAAAAAGACACTTTCAGCCAGGTGTTCTTTTATTCGGTTTTCCTCCTCGTCCTTTTGTTGTTGTTGTTCCTTTGCAGATGGAAGTAGAGTAGCAATAATCTCCTTTTTCCCTAATGCTTTTCTCTGGCTCTGCTCAGACACTTGTAGACGGAACTTATCTATCACACCATAGTAAGAAGCCCGAACATCTCTGTGACGAATCACACTGCAGAGGAAAACAACATTTTCAAACAAAGGAACTAATAGGAAGCATGTCTCCTGTGGAATTACGCCCTATATCCCGATGTTTCCCCTCTTTTCCCCCGTACACAGATACACTGCAATAGTACAGATCCCCATTCCCTCCTCCGTCACTCAATGTTCTTGAAGATTTGATCTTGCCTTCTCTCTCCTCTCCCTATGTTTGCTCTGGTTCTCAAATATATCTGCTCCAACTGGCTGGCCAAAAAGAACAGTTAATCATTTATCTCAAGCACACCTTTGCCTCAATCTGAGGTCCGGCTGCCAATTTGCATGAAACATCAATTAGCTGAAAGATCCTTTATCAAAGCTGTTTAATGCTGGCCAATGATTTTAAAAGGTATGGGGGGACTGGAGTGGACAGGGAAGGAAAGAAGAGAAGTAAGACTGCTGAACACTTGGACAGGTGATGGCAAAAGTCTAGCTTTTTGAGGAAACCAGGCTCAGAGCTTTACAATTATACTTTCTCAGAAGTAAAACTCATTCCCTCTACATTCAAGAGTTGGCTAGATATAAAGGGATTTTCAAAATCAGAAGCCCACCATTAAGAACATGTAGCAGTGCAGTAAAAATGACAACTACGTATCTACGTAAACACTTCTCACCTGTCTCTCAGTGACTAAATCTGGGTATCAATAGTAGAGCTCTGTGCTGTCAGAGCTTTGCTCATCAATCTGGCTACGTTGAGCATGTTTCGTAGCCTGCATTGAAATGCAGGATGCTGCAGATACTTCACTAGCTACCAAGAGCTAGGCTGGGCGTAGCTACACAAGTTGCAGTCGCAACTCAGGACTGCCATGTAGACACACTCTCTGAATTACAGCTAGAGAGTCAGTTATTTTCTTGGTAAGCCTTCTCACTGTCCAGCAACCACTCTGTTGCTCTACTGTTTTGAATACGTTGACCAAGATGGCTTCAACAGTAAGACAGGGCGATAGTTGTTGCATTCCTTCTAGTTTTATGGCATTTCATGGGAAAGTTTGTATGAGGGACTTAGAAAAGACACAGTTTTAAAATAACACTGATCAAAGGCAATACACACCTCAGCAGTGCTCTGCTCAGCTGCCTCCTCTCTGCATTTATGATTCATTATGAAAGTACGTATCTAGTAAAAAGCTCTAACATTTAGGTTTTGAAGCCATATCAGCTCTTAGGGTTAATATGGATTTTAATTATTTTTCCAAAGCAGAAAACTTTTTTTTGTGAAAGGCTATTCTAAATCTCTAAGATAACAATATCTAATCTGAAAAAAATACCTACATATAAGTGATTTGGCTTCAAGAAAGTTGCCATCTCCTGAGGGGAAAAAAATTATTCTACCCTTAGGAATATAGGATAGAAGTCTTACAATTGCTTCAAGAAGCCTATCTTTCTGATAATATATACCATAAACTGCTGCAAGAAACAGATTTTTGTGTTTCAGTCTTCATTTAAAGGAACCATATCACATCAAGGTATCTACAATCATTAACACATAGCCAGTGCTTGTAACTGGTATCTAGTTTGAACAGACTATTCAACAAGGAAACAGAAACTAAGTCATCCCCCAAGTGAGAATGCTGCAGGAATGTATGTAGTTTTACATCATTTTAGAGGCAAAAGAGTGTGCTTATGACAGGCTTTCAGCAAGCTGAGTGTTGGCTGGGCAACTGCCTTCACTAAAACAAAAGGCTTTCTCCCCCCCGACAGTCTAAGTCATACAACTCTCAGCATATCAGAACAGCAGATTCAACTCTTATTTCTTCCTTTAACACTTCCTTTTAAATTTTTGTTTCTACTGTTACTACCATGGTACGTACTACCAACCTAAACAGAATCTTAACACTGTGCTATAAGAACATGTGTCTGCTGCCAAGCAGTTTTCTGCAGACCCTTATAAACAGATACATTCTCCTGTTTCTTTTTAGAGACCATTGCATAATTGGAAGCTCTGTAGAATATCTGTTTATCTGGCAAATGGCCATACTTGCATAGTACTGCTCATATCCTAGCAATAAACACTGCCCTTAGACAGCAACCATTGGAATGGGATGGGGGTTTTGCTGCACAAAAAATTCCCTTGGAAACATGCATATGGTCTTATTTTCCTTTATTTAATAAAAGACATTTGTTTAAGATGAACCAAATGTAATCAAGCTTGTGTAAATGCCTGCTAAAGACTGGAATAGCTCACTGATACAGCGGTATATTCTGACCTGTTTTGTTCCATTTTAGGGTTGTTGCCCCTGCCCACTGAAAATTTTAGTTCTATGTTTTAAACTTCCAAATTTTCCAGATTACACCTAAGGAAAACAGTCTACAGGAAAGAGCCATTCCCCAAGCACAGTATTCTTTATCTGACAAAAGAAGGATCATTGAATAGCAGGGTTTTTGTATATGGCCACTTGTTAGCCAGAGATTCCAGGTGTTTTACAGTTTGCAAATTTCTAGTCAGAACGCTCAGTCTGCTCTATTAGGTACTTCATACTTTCTTTAGCTGCATCTGTACATCAGCACAGAACTAAGGCGGCAAAAGGAAGATGAAAAAGATTGGGCTATTTTAGCTTATACACCTACTCTACTTCGAATTATAGCAGCCTACAGACCCTATACGTTATTGTGGTCACTTAACTGCCCTTCATCTTTTCTCTGTTACTGGGTTGGGACCTGACAGGAGAAAGAAGTAAAGGGGAGACAGAGAGATCTGAGAACGAGAGAGGCGGTTGGAGTGAAAGGTAGGCAAAAGTACCTTTATTAAACATGCCCCAGGAAAGCGTGCTCAGTAGAACTGCATGCATTTTAATTTTGCCCATCCGCAAACAAATGTTTCTCACAAAGAAATCCCAACCCTGGGGGTCTTACTTTTCTTGTCAGAAATAACAAAAAAGTACTCAAGAGGAGGCTCATGTTACTCTCACTGCTGGTTTACAAACTATACTACAGGATGCATTTACTAGCATTTTATTTATGCCTAAAGACAAAATTAAAGAAGAAAATATCCCCAACATTGTAATATCTCTGCCCTAGAGTGAAAAAATAGCAAAGACCAGATAGCCACAGAAATTTAAGAGATCAGGAAAATATTGTATCTTTATCCAACTTAGTTTATACTATGCATGATGTCATTTACTACATCTTAAACAATAAAAGAAATTAAGGTAAACCAAGTGTCATGCATTAGGGAAAAAAAACCCCACAACCAACTTTTACTTACATATCAACACAGCACTGAGGCTTCACTGCACCAGTAGCATCAACCACCGCATATTTATTTGGAGTTGTACAAAGAACTGCAATGAAAAGGACAGTAGTGGTAACAAATCATGAATTAATACCTCATGAACTTCATCAACAGATATATGTAAAGACATGAGTTTGGTTTTGTCACAAATATGATTTGTTACATGAATTATAATTGGACTGTTCAAGATCACCAACTAACCCTTAAATAAAACTTAACCTAAGAAACCCACCTTTGAATTTTAAGGCAAACTCATAGGGGTTATATAGAGTCAACACCTGCTTGTGTGTTGACTGGTCATCTGCATAAAATATAAGTTCTGTAGGAAAAACAAAAACAGGAAGATTTCCTTCCACTAACTCTGGCTGTCTTTTTTGTTGCTGCATTGGCACTGAATCCTCCTTGCTGCTTCTTGTGTTCTTATGATTTTGTATCCTCAGAGACTTCAGTTTTTGAATCGTTTAAGAATTCCAAAGCATTTTGGCAATTCTAAAGGAAAAAAGGGGAAAAAAAGAGAAAAGGCAAGAAGATTATTTCCATAAGTCTATACTAAACTGAGGCAGTCAACAACGGTGTAAAAATATAGAACTTGATGCTTGCTTATGAATCTACCTTTACTTTAGTTCCTTCAAAAATAGAGAAATAGAAAAAAATATTCGCACTGGGTTTCCATCTATTTAACAAACTGCTATAAAATAAATGGATAAGCACTCCTTCAGTGTATCACGGCAGCATTTTGGGGTCCCAGTCCATGACAAGGGCTGCTTATGCTGGGTCTTTGCAACACAAACCAAACCACCACAACAAAAAGATATCCCATCCTTGCCTCAGAACACTAACACTTGAGAAAAAGCAGCAGAAATGAGGAAACACAAAGACGTCAGGCAGCAGTAGTCACCACTTAGGCAGGAATCTCTCTGCGGTGGTGACCTTCTCGGATGAGGTATAATAACTTAGGTATCCACTCACATAGGCACTGAGGTATGCCAAATCCCAGAGATTCAGAACAAAAGAATGGGGAACACCTTCATGCCTTGTTTAAACTCAACTCTTGTTAAAATCACGTGGTAGTTACAGGCAACAAATTGAAAAATAACTGGGATGAATAATACCAAACAGATTTTGGATTTACTATTTGATTAAAAAACAAGACAGGTCTTCTACCACTACTGCCTCTAACCAAAGTATAACCATTGGAATTCTCCCTCTGCCACCCCCTCAGTTTTGTTTTATTTTGAGTGACATTCCAGAACTAAAACCAGAACCCATGACCCAATCAAGCAACAATCCCAAACGTATTTCATAAAATAAAATTAAGGCCAGACTCCTCAGCACACATACCATTGACTTTACACACTACAGACAGAACAAAGTGAAACAGCTACATGTATTTTTCCCCCAAGAACATCATATTCTACTGTAGCTCCTGTAGGTTAATTATCAAACTGAAGGTGTCCTTTGAGGCTTAACTTTATTCTATAGTAGAAAATATTAAACAAAAAAGTTCCTATGGACTCATTAGCTGTAATTTCCACTTCCAATTAAGCTTTATAAAACAACATCCATTTCAGCTGTTCTCCAGTCTAACAAACTGATTTGGCTGCACCTTAAGAAATTTAGTTTCTGAACTTTCTAGCAGTAAATAGCCCTAGCGTTATGAACAATCTAAATCAAATGCTTATTTCTGCATTATGAACAAGCAAAATCAAATGCTTATTTCTGCATTCTAAACATCATGACGTTCACATTTCCAAGCACCAGATACATGTTTCATACTTGAAACATGACACAAGTTTAGGTGTTTACTAGAGTATATCTGTCATATCTTCAGATTTACAGGTTCTCATTCTTATTGACAAACTAGGCTTTTAAATTTATTTATTTTTTTAAAATAGCAAATCATCCCCATAAAATTTAAATTCATGGCTCTTACTGGAATATCTTTCCCCAAGATCCAGTTTCTTTTCAGAGCACTGGTTTGCTTCCACTTCACTGAAATGCTACTAATAATATTCTGAAAACAAATCCCCAATGACAGTGTTCCAAGCTGATGTTCTGCTACCTTATTAAGAAGAGTCTAGAAAAAGAAATAGCTGTGTAAGTGGCAATTTGGGTTCCAAGTGCTTCTTAGAATTTTGGTGAATCCCTTTTGTTTCAGAAGAATTAACAAACTCTAGAATCACTTTGTGCAGCAAGTGTAAGCTTTATTTCTTGAACAACTTTATGTACTATTGCAAAGTGAGGCTCATTGTTCCATACATTAAGACTATATGAAGAGCTAATGTGGAAGAACTACCAGCTTGCAGGAACACAAAATAACTTCTTTTGAAACTTCTCATAGGCAGAAGTTTAAGAATTTTTTTTTATTTTTTAATTTTTTTGCAAAAGTTAGCTCAATGAAGTATGCAGTAAGCATATGTGAGAAACTTTGGTTCTCATACATATCTATACTGCATACATTACGCGTAACAAATATAGGCAATCTTTGAAATTAACAAAAGGGTTTTTTTCCCCTAATAAATATTTAAACTACCATGCAAACAACAGCAAACTACTGCTAGATATTTTTAAGTGACTACAGTTAATGAAATTTATAAACAATATTGTTTATAATAATTAGTATTTTGATGCTTTGGTTTTTTAGTTAAGCACTGCACAGATTTAATTCTGATTCCTGGCATCATACCACAATTCCAGTTTCTTCAGATCGGCCAGTGGCAAGTGTTTAGGTGCCCAAAACCCCCACAAATCACAACATCAGTTGAGGAATGGATCACTAAGACTGTTAACAGACTTCTTTTTCTTACACATCCGTTGAAAACAGAGTATGCAAACCTCCCAGGTTTCCAAAACTTGCAGGTGGAAAGCCACGAATCTTAAAAAAGTATACCCTATTATTGCTTCCTTTTCTTATTTAACTTGGCTGGATAAGAAGCTATGGCTCAAACTGGCAAAAGTAAATCTGGCAGACCTAGGCCTACAGTAGACACGTTTGCTGACACAGCGGTGTCATTCAGGATATAAATTTCTGGGTTTCTAAGCAAGGAACCATTTTTTGAGACATTCTGGCTTAGATGTCATCTTGCTGAGATAGCTCACCAAGTAATATCAGTAAAAATACTTTTCCCAAAGACTGCATTATAAACTATACATACACTGGGGAGACTTGATGGTTTAGCGTTAATAACAGCATACCTTTCATACAGCACTCATCAACAACTAACTGTAGAGCCTTCTACAAAGTCCGTATCATCAGAACTTCTCTGCACAGATTAACCCCAAAGCAACACTCCTGTAAATGCTCAGAATAAGGCTACGCAGCCGGCTGCCTTCAGCACCCCAGCCAGTTCATTCAAAAGAAGCTGGCTGCCGCTCTTCTACGCTGCGCACTGCAGCGCACCAGATTCTCACCACCATCGCTACATTTTATACAGTCAATAGTCACCACGATTACCTGCAGAACATAGAAGTAAGCACAAACAACTCCGTACAAAACCGAGACCTGTGGTCTCAAGTCTGTGACCTACCCTGCGCAGATGGGCTTCTCCTAGCGCTGCCAGTGAAACGCCCCACGGGTGCGGGAATCTGTCAAATGCAATGCTCGTTACAGGACACGGGCCAAGGTCTAACACCTGAACAATGCCAGCTTGCTTTCCAACGCTCTTTGAAGTCCAGACAAACAATTGTCACTGCTTTTTTTTTTTTAGCACGATAAGGATCTTTTCCCCCCCGAAATTACTAAATATATACTGCTGCTACCACAATAGCACAGATCTGCCAGCATTTCCTTTGAAATCCCTTTCTTCATGAATTGAACTCAACAGAGAAAAGCACAAAGTGAAATGTAACTTCTCTCTAGGGTCAGAAACACCACCGATTGTGATTTGTTTTTACTTAACAAGTATCTGCTGAAAAAAACAAATCAAGTGAGGAAGTTTTTTGTTCCCATTTTAACTTCCAACAGCCTCATCACCATGGCTTCCGAGTGCATTTTTTGGTGGTTCATTTTCCTAACAACTGCAAATAACTCTACAGAATGTCATCTGCTAAACACTTCATTCAGAAGGTAACTTCTTTACAGTCATAGTCTCCACATTCTCCTTTTAAAAATTGTCTAATTACAGCGTGATTTTTTTTGTTATATCTCATGATCTACCCTCTAAATCTACACAATAAGCCTTTCTACACTATATACTCAATAAAACTGATGCCTTTTGAGTGCACATTTACAAAATAAGCCACAAAGTCTTCTTCAAAATTCCCCCCTACGTCAAACAGTGTAATTACTTTACGCTACATGCAAATACAGCATAAGATCTGACTGAAGCAGATCCATTTTCTCCAAAAGTTTTTGAGGGCCTTAACATGCACTTACGCAAAACAATGTTTAAATTACCTGCAATTATTTGGGAGAGTCATCCAATGATTAGAGCACAGAGCCAGCAGCCAGGATGGCTGGATTCCATTATTGCTAACTCTGTCACCGACACTCCATGACCTTGAGCAAGTTGGTTAACCTCACCTCAATTTGCTAATCTATGAAGGCACATATTCTGCAAAGTATTTAAGTAGGCGGACAGTCACATTTAAACTGGCAGAACTACTCTGACACTTTGCAAAGCCTGAGCCGAAACATGCTACTGTTTACCCCTTTACAGGGTGATGAGAAATGTAATTAGTAACTGTCTCCAGGATGCTGTAAAATGAAGCAGTCTCAGAGCATTACCTATTAGCATGGATGACTACAACATGCATAAATCATGCTGATACTGACAGCAAAATGTATTAGGACCACATTATTTTTTTCCTTTATTTTTTCAAATGCTGAAAAGGTGGCAGTAACAAAAAAAATTATTCAAACGCAACTAAGAGGCATGCAAAAGCAGGGCAAAACGAGGTAACAGCTGTGCATTGCTTCTGATGCGTTCTACTATATGGCTCAGAAAAATGCTATAGAAGACTTTCAAGAGCACATCTGGTTTAGTCTCTATTTTCTCACTTTCAGGTCGCGTTTAATGCACTAAACTGGCTGGGTTTTAAACGCGTATTGTGCTCATGAGCGCTACATGGCCCTTCTCCCTGTCTCAGGCCGGGTTCAGATACTCAGCCCAAATGCCAAGATGCCACAGACGAGCTGAGGAGAACGCTCTTTCCTCAGGGAGCTACGGGAGGACGGGCATTCCAGGCGGCCCCGCAGAGCGCACCGGCGGCAGGCAGCGGCACAGCGGGAAGCGCAGAGCGGAATGGATCCCCTTTGTTCTCCAACCGCGGGCAGCGGAGGCAGAGCCCGGG